GCCCAACGGAGACTCCCTGCGGCCGCGCCCCGACGGCCGCGCCCAGCCCGACTGCGACACGTTGGGCGCCGCCTCTGAGGTCAGCCTGGAACACCGAGGTCATGACTCCGGCACGCGGGGTCAGGAGGTCAGGAGGCAGAAGTCTGTGAGGCGAATGGTGGAGAATGAGGGTTCTGGGTCGGCCTCCACAGGGAGGAGCCAGTACTAAGGTCCAGCCCCTCCTTCCCCCTGCCCCACTCCTGGGGTAACCTAGGTAACCGTGTGTGGGGGGGTGTGGTCTAAAAAGCTGCATGGTGACTTTCCCCTTTTACCTTTCGCGCTGGGCTCCACCAACCTCTCTTCGCCTAATTGCACTATTCCTCTCATCTGTCTGTCCGACGTCATTCATTTACTCTCTCCTTTGTGGCTAAAGCTTCTCATGAAGATCTCCTGCTGAGACTCCTTAAAATCCAATTAATTATTTAAGATCTAACTGAATAACAGATCAATAACCTAATAAAAAATGCATAATAATGAAATGCGCTTGGCTGAATCAAAATATTGTGTTTATAACGCGTTTCCGTTGAGTGGAGCCTGTACCTAAAAGCAGAACATCAGTCACACAAGTCACAGAAACAACGGGTATGAAAGCACCTTTATGAACAGTAAATATGACACACATACTGCAGATATACAACTATCTTTAGCTGTATCTCTAAAGCCTGAGGTCACGTCACTGATAACTGATAAGCAGATGACCTTGAATCATGAAGTGCAGATATAATATCTCTTGTTAGCCGTGCCTGTACCAGGAGATTGTACTCTTACAGTGTTGTGTAACGGTCTAACTCCTGGGTTTTTACTGTAGGGATCAGTAAGCTTTTGGGTCTCTTACAGCACACCTTGGTACACCTGGACACATTACCCCTGGGTTACACCTGGAGACAGATTACTTCCTTCTGACCGGTAGCTAGGAAAGCTGAGGAAAGATATGCAGGTCTTTTAATTATTTGAAGCAGAAGCTGCTCACGATGTTAAATGCTAGACTTGAATCTGATGAACCTGTTTTGAAACAGGTGAAGTCTCTTTTTAACAGGACCTGCCTATCTGTCTGTGTACCAGCTGTTTACAGGTGTTCTGTTTACAGTGATAGCAACAGATCAAAAGTGTGTATTGCATATTGTGCAAATGCAGGTGGTTGGCCGCTCTCACAGGTGTGGATGCATGTCTTTAAGAAAGCAGGATAGATGTTTTTATTTGTGTGTGTGTGTCTTTTAGAGTTAGTGACGAGGAACACGTGTATTTAAGATGAACTTATTTGTGCCTTTTGTTTGCCTTCCTCTTCTTTCCCTTTGTGGTCTTTCCTAGGCTTTATGCTCTTAGACTCCTCTCCTGCCTTTGGGACAAAACATGCACTCTTCTGCCAATAAACCACTGACTGTTAACCAAACCTGTGTGCTGGGCTGGAATACACAACTTGCATTGTCTCACGTCAGGTGGCGAGCTGTCCCTGTTAGTTGAAGTTACAGTTTGAAGGCGCCACCTGCTGGACAGTGATAGAGCTCCTCTGTCATGCAGCCCAACATTAAGCCTTAAGTAATCTCATAGGACCCCACATGCAAAACATTGACTGAAAAATATATTGATTTTAAACCATGTTCAGTTTATTAATTTGATTGGATCAGATGGGCTGAATGACAGATGAGGTGGTCATTATTATTTTTTTGCTGCTTGCTTGTTTTTCATTTCAGTGCTTGTTTTGTCTCCCTCTGTCTGTCCGACTCACAGACGCAGTGGATCTGGGTTCCCCGGATGAGCTGATGGATATTTCGGAGGTGGATGAAGGGGTGTGGCCAGGCGGCGTGGGGCCTGACATGACTCCACCCACCATCACTATCAGCAACAGCGTCACCACGTTGAACCTGGGGGCCAAAGCCATGAAGAAGTGTCGGCTCGGTGGGCGCACCAGCAAGGACAAGGACAAGGACAAGGAGGCGGGCCCTCTAACAACGGGCCGGGCCAACAGCGAGAACATAGAGCTGTCTATCAAGCGACTGACGCTCACTTCCAGCCAATCAGTGCCCAAGGCAGGAGCTCTCACTAGCTTGACGCGCACCGCCAGCGCCGTCTTCTCCCGCTCCTTTGAGCAGGTTGCCAGCGGCAACGCCCCCCCCTCCAGCAACCACACCGCCTCTGAAGCTGCCCGTTATTCATGCAGCCTGCAGGAGGAAGGGCTGGGGTACTTGAGTCCAGCGCCAAACCACACGCAGCGCTCTCCCAGCATCAGCGTGCACCTTGGCTCTGACCTTTGAACCCTTTTGTGACTCCTGACTACCTGAACCCTCGCCTCTGATCCCTGTGACCCTGTACCTGTGACCTGGAACTCCAAGCCATGCCAACTGCAACGGACCAGAAATGCACGAACAAACACTCCCGCTGGTTCCCTCGTCACTCCGTTTTAACGTCTTTGATTCTCTGTGCTGTAAACCAGACATCCAGACTTCCGTCAGCTCCCTCTGTTCCTTCCCCCCAAACAGAGTCTTCTGTGGGCCTGATGGAGGAGGGATGTCAGGGATACCACCTCCAGCTTCAACGATTTTTACTAGTGCACTGTTGCCGTGAAGTCGTGCCAGGACAAAACTGTACTCTGTCGGAGAGCAGCCTGTCGTAAATGGGTGCGCTTAAAACTCATTACTAAAAAAAAAAACTGTGGAAAAGTATTTGGAAAGTATTTTAATTGGCATTTGTTGCCCTGCATGGCTTTCCCATACATCCATCCTGACCTTGCCCAGGTTTGTCAGAGGGCAGATGTTGAGTATGTATGAGCATGCTTGAGTGTATGTACTGAATGTGTGTATGTGCAATTGTTTTTAGAATAAAGGCTGCTGATTGATACAATGAACAAGGTATGATTCTCCGAGTTGAAACAAGTGTTTCTACTACTTTAAAAAA